TTGCTGGCTACTTAAAACACAAAGGTCATAGTTATTTATCAGTTAATTTGAAAGAATTGAGAAAAGAGTGTAATGTTGCCCAAACTTGACTAGATTGGAACTATCCAAAAGAAGAAAGAACAAATATTACCACTGATTTAAGTGTCGCTTATAGAGGTTTGGAAGGATCTTTGAAATTGGATGGATTTAATAATCTTAAAAAACTTATTTGTTATGAAAATAGAATTACTAGTCTAGATTGTAGTGATTGTTCTAGTCTAGAAGAAATACATTGTGAAGATAATCTTTTCATAAATATAAAATTAACTCCCAGTTTAAGAAGAGTTGATGTAAGGAATAATTCACTCACTAGTCTCAATTTTTTAAACGATTTGGATAGTGAAAATTTAGAGTGGCTTAATATCCACAGTAATAATTTTTCTGAAAGTGATTTAACTCCATTTAGCAGGTTTATTAATTTACGAGAATTAATGCTAAGTAATCTTGAAGAGGAGAAAATTCAACAAGGCATTTACAATCGCTTTACTGGTTCCCTAGAACCTTTAAAAAACTTAACTAGACTAAATACACTAGCTATTCATAATACGGATATTGGTAGTGGTCTAGAATATTTACCTGACAGCATTCAGTATTTTTATTTTTCAGATGCCAAGCAGGAGAGAAAAGCAGGAAACATTGTTAAAGAATTAAGAAAATACGGAAAACCAAATGACGGAATTAATTTCTCTAATCTGCTAAAACTTTGAAAAGAGGCTAATTCAGAAAAGATAAAAATAGTTCGCCAACAAACGGAGCAACTAGAAACTCAACCAGCAATAACTCCTAGTTCTTCTAAAAAAAGTAAAAAGGTTAAACAAAAAGAAAAACTAACTGTTACCCAAGAGCAAATCCAGCAATTACAAGCAGAATTAGAAGCAAAAAAATCCAAGAATGTTAACTTAGAAAAAGAGCATTCTTTTTACAAGAAGTTCTTCGATAATTATTTGCAGACTAAAAAGAATGAATTAAACGAATTAAAAGTTAAATTTACTAACGAAGAACAAGAGTGATTAGATATTTACTGGGAAGCCAGCCAGGAAATCGAAAAAAGTTCTTTTGTGAGAAAACAATTAAAAAGAGCCGAAGATAATTTAAAAAAAAAACTTGGTGAGGAAGAATTAAAGTTGATTTTAGAGAAACAAGCAGAGATTAATGATTTAGAAAATCAGTTAAATAATTTGCAAATCCAAGAGCAAATTCTGACCAACCTTTCTGACCAAATCCCCGAATTAGAAAATCAAGTAGAAATCCCTCCTAAACAATAATGCCCTATGACAAAATTAGCAAAAAAAAAAAAAAAAAATTTATTTTAGTAGCCTAACCGCTCTAATAATATTGGAAGCCTTACCTATTTTGGTCTTCTGAAAAAGCGATTCGCACACAGTAGTAGTAAGTAAAAATTATGATAAAATGCTTTCAAGTAAGCTGTAACGAACAAGGTTTTAATACGAAGGATAGACGGCTATCTCTGCCCTTATCACTCTTCCCAAATAGAGGATATGTTAAGAAGACAAAGACAGGATAGAAATAGACCCCAAGACGAATATGAACAATTTCCTGGTTGTATTTTTGGCAAAAGAAATAAAAAAACGAAAGAATGTAATGAGAGTTTTTGCCGCTTTTATCCAAAAAAATGTCAATACTGCGGTAAAACAATTTCTGCTGGCCAAACTTACTGACCCTTAAAAATGATAAAACGATAGTCTTTTGTTCTAAATTACATGGGGAAATTTATTTAAAAAAGAAAGAAAAAGAGGAATTAGAAAGCAAAAAAATATGATGAAGAAATAGAAGAACTCGAAAAAGATTTAAAAGAGACTGACCGGGTAAAACAGAAATGACAAAAAATTGTGACCCACGTAAAAACCGGTAAAAGTTTATCAGAGTTATGAACTGATTGGGAGGATGAAATTGCTGATTTATCTTCTGATAAAAAAAGACTTTGCTGTGAATATCAGAAAAATATCGAGGAAAAAGAAAGAATTTTAAAAGAGAAGAATAATTATCAGCAATCATTAGGCGATTCGTCCAGCCAATCAGATAAAGGCAATAACAATAATTCTAACAATGACAGTAATTATTCTCCTTTTTCTAATAATAATTCTTCTGATAATTCTACATCATGAATGACCTGCATAATTTGTGAAAAAAGTTATGCCAGCGAACAGGAACACGATAGTCAAAATCCCAACTGCCGAGAACAAGGACAAATTTGACAGGAAGCATTGGAAAACAGCGAAAAAGGAATATTAAACGAGCATGCAAAATTGAATCTACGGAAAAAAGGTTTACTAATCTTAGTTTTGGCACAGTCTGGGAAGAGAATAGTTTACCCACTAAGCAGAGAAGACATCCGCATCAGAAACCAAAGGAGTTAATTAAGGCACTAATTGGAGCAACTACTAACGAGGGAGATTTAGTGGTGGATCCGTGTGCTGGTTCCTTTATCGTGCTGGAAGTTTGTCAAGAATTAAAAAGGGAATATTTGGGACACGATTTAACTTTTGAGGAAGTGAAAAATTTTTTAGGAAATAATCAGCAACAATTATAAACTTGTTTATTTCCAAAACTTTTTTAATGCTTGATATTCGGCAGAAGCCTTAATCATTTTCACCATCTCCGTCACTAATTTCTTATGCAAATCACCATGCTCTTCTTCCTCGGGAGCATAATCAATTAAAATTGCATGAACTATTTCATGAGCCAACACATAAATAAAGGCCTTGAAGCCGAAGTGTTTTTCAAACTCATTTTTTTCTTCGTAATAGTGTCTTAATCCTAATTGGTAATAGAGAAACAATTCATTAAGGTAAACAGTGCGGGTGGGAATGGTAAAATTATCACCTAAAACCAATAAAGGTTCTTTTTCGTGAAATCCCTGTCGGACTTCTACTTTGCCAGTTTCTTCATTAAAATAAGGTTTTTCTAAAACCAGACCACCAAATCTAATGATTGGTTCGGGTTGTAATTTTCCGTAAAGGAAGCCTAATTTTTCCCGAAAACGATAATAATAAGTAGTAATGAGATAAGCAAATAATCTTTCGCCTATTCTTTCTATTTTCGGCGTCGACATACTCACTCTATTTCTTTACTACCCGGTTTGCTTATCTGGTAAAAGTCGGTAATAACTACTTGGTAGTCTTTGCTGATATCTTTTACTGGCATGTTTTTATTTTTTTCTCTCAATTGAGTTAGTCAGTCTTGGTTTTCGTTCATATTATATTATTTTTATACAAATATCTTATATCCCCAATGTCCAATTACACAGTGGAAGACTTCGAAAAATGATTAAACACTGATAAATCCCGGCATGCTGGTCTCAAAGGCTGATGGTGAATTCTCAAACAAATTAAAACTGATGCCGACTTACAGGCTTCTTTAATTTATGGTAACAATCAGGGGGGTTGAAATTTTTCTGACCCTCAATGACGAAAAAATGGCAATGATTGGGGGAAAATTTTGACGATTATTACCAAGTATTTTTGAAATATAAAGAAGAGGTGGATAGTCAAGTACCCAATGAGGAACATTTAG